AATGACGCATGGTCCGTATAGACGATGAACGGTCTATCTCCCAATAGATAGACCCAGAACTTAGCCAGTGCATATTTTATGGCAAGGAGTTCCTTGTCATGCACTGAATAATTGCGTTCAGCTGGTTGCAGCTGACGCGACTGATAACAGATGACGCGCTACGCGCCATCTGCATCGAACTGCATTAACGCACAGCCGATTGCAAAATCGCTGGCGTCACAGACCACATAAAATGGTCTGTCCTGATCTGCAATCGCCAAGATCGGCGATTGCATCAATCTTTGCTTGATACCTTCATAGAAACGTTGGCACTCAGCGTTCCATGACCACTTGACATTTTTCTTGAGCAAGCAAGAAAGATGTACCGTCATCTCGGCGTAGTTGCGCGGGTACTTGTGCAAGTTCGCGGCTAGTCCAAGGAACTTCCTTAGTCCCTTGACATCGACTGGCACTGGCCAGTCGGTGATCGCCTTGATCTTTTCGGGATCAGGGCGTACGCCGTGTTTACCCACGATGCACCCAAGAAGTGGTATTTCGCTAGCCGCGAATATACACTTCTTGAGGTTGGCGTACAACTTATGCTTGCGCATAAGTTGAACACCCTGACGAACGTGAGTTCTGTGAACTTCAACGTCCGTCTTTCCGTCCATAGCCCGGCTATAGACTAACACATCGTTGAAGTAACTCGGTGCGAAGTCTCGCACCGGTCCCAACAGATTTGTGACACGTCTGTCGAATGTTGCAGGGGCATTGCTCAGCCCCTGTGGCATCACTAGCCACTCCCACAGCATCCCGCTGGGGGTACTCACTGCCGTGAACGGGATGTCCCGTTCACGCATGAGGATCTGATAGAAGTCATCCATCAGATCCATGGACGAAAAGACGGTACTCTTTGACATACCATCTATGATTACGTCCTTCCTCGGTATTGGCGTCTGAACCGGTACCGTTGCAGCATTCTATTTGTTGAATGCGTGCACTATCCGCCACTCTCCTGTGGCCTTTCGCACACAGAAGGTCGGAGAGCTGTGAGGGGATATTGATTACCTCACATGGCCCGCTGCTAAGAGATCGGCAAAGAACTTGTCGACCGCTAGTACTTGTTCACGAGGCAGTGGCCACTGCTTCATGACACAGTACTTCGAGCCCGATTTGAGCTCGATCTCGTGTCGAGTGCCTTTGTCCTTAGTCAACTCGCAAGGTACGGATCCAGGAAATACATCCTTGAATTCGATCAAATCCTTATACAAAGGATTTGCCTGAAGTGACTCCCAGGATTGAGACGTGTATCGCTCAATCCGAGTCTTTTCATCGAGGACACTTTCGTCCATCGATGAGCTGCTGAGAACTCGTTCGTTCTCAGCAAATACTGTTGCCGACCGAATATCGGCCACATACTCATCCTCCGTGACGAGTATGCAGATCTGCTTGACTTTGCCACTACGCAGATCACGCAAGAACCGTTTCGGTTCTAGCGTTGGCAACTGAGTTATCTCCGAAGCTAACTTCGGAGGCACAATCAGATCAAGCGTATAAGCGCCTACGCTTGATCCGTCATGAACCAAGACGTTCAACGTCTCGGTTTCTTCCTGGGAACTTTCTTCCACAGGTTGCTGAGGGTCTGATCCCTCAGCAAGTGACTCTTGAGGAATTCCTTCCTCAAGTACGTGGGGACTTATTCCCTCGACGTCTTCTGACTGTGGCTGTGCAACCACATTCAGGCACCGATCCTCTACGGTCGACTCTCCAGTCGACCTAGGATTTTCATGTTGCCCCTTGGGGGCAACAGGTTTCTTTCTTCTAAGATGCTGCCCGCTAGGCATGCATCCATGTCCCGGTCCACTCGACTTATTCGAGTGGTGGACCTTCGGCGCAGCCTGTACATCTGTACAGCCGCTGGGAGCTTGCTCCACAGTGTAGTGATCAACTACAATGTGATCTTGTGCAGTCGTGCTAACGACCGTACCGCAAGTGAGGCCATCGCACTCACTCGCAGAACATCCACACGCTTGTGGACGCTCCAAGATGTTCATCAGATGGCCATCTGATGAACAAGCGGCAGGCATCTTCACGGATCGATGCTGCCAGCTCACCCTTGGCTCGTACTGTCTGAGCCAAGGTAATCCCAGAATGACATCAAATTGTCATCCAGATCTAGTACGATGAAGTCATCATCGTACTGTTTGCCCTCTAACGTGTAGTGGATTCCTACTACACGTTTCTCAACGGTAATCGATGCGCCTGTTGCAAGACGCACCGTCATCCTTGTGAGGGGAATGTCGCGCTCAACGAACTTGAGCCTACGACCCTCTAGTGACTGGCGTCGAACAAAGTTGTTCGACGCCCCACAGTCTACTAGGACACGAAGCGACAAATCCTTTGTCACTTCCAACTTCAAGGTGATGAGCGAAACGTCATCACCAGGTGCAGAGACACACAATGATTGTGTATCTGGAGCAACTTTCGCCAAGAGATTTGCAAATTCATTTGAGGTTGCTGGATCAGTAGGGCGCTCCGCCCCAACTGACCCCGTCCATTTTTTGATGGTCCGTCTCGCTGTTGCGGCTTCGCAACAGCGCTGGACCCACGCCCATTGCCCTTTCTGGCGAATGGTCGTCCATTTCGCTCAGTACTGTTTGGTACTGGGCGTGGAGCACTACACTCGTATGCGTAGTGCCCTGACTTCTGACAGCGATTACACCTCTGCAATCGCTTGTTGTTCGAAGAGCGAGGTCTCTCGCTCTCAACATAGCAGAGGTCCATTGGTTCTGGACCTCCGATCTCTTGTCGTCTCGGTGGACGATAAGAGTTTGAGCTAGCATGAGCCTGTTTTATGCTAAAGTCTTCCTGTTCCGCGGCTGATATCGCATCTTAAAGTGTATTCAGCTCAAGGCGGAACAGGTAGCTCCTGACGGGCCCTTCTGCGAGCCCTTGCATGAACACCGTAATCAATGTGTGTTCATGAACTGGGTTAGCAGTTATACTACTCTCGAGGAGTCGTATATGTTGAGCGTAAGCGTGCACATCACGCTTACCCTGCTTGAGTTTCAGGAGCTCTGAACGAGCCCTGAACTCAGCCCGTGGCGGCTCAAACGTTTGTCTGAGCCGGTACCTGAAGTCATCTAGCGACCTAAACACATTTGGGTCGCTACCCTCGAGCCCCAGGGATCAAGTTTTGACACGCCCTGCCAAGTGGGTTTGAGCAAATGTGAGTTTCATTTGCTCATCTTCGACGCGACGAGCCCTTAAGGCTCTGCCGACTTCGACAAACCACAGTAACAGGGAGTCTTCCGGGACTCCACTGTGCTTGGAGATGTCAACTTTCATGACCTCATGACGACGCGAATGTGTCGTCCTGCCCACAGCAGCATGGAATTGCTGCTGTCTCAACAGCTCTGTCTGTTGAGCACCGAGTTCTCTCAACTGCTCGGCCCGTTGAGAGCCTTGCTGGTGAAGCAAGGCTACTTTCTCCCTCACGATGGCAAGTTCATTTTGAATGAACTTGGCGATAGCGGTATGTTGTTGGTCTCTGTCAAGAGACTCCAACATGGCGCTAATGGCGAGTTCGCCTACGGTAGAACTCATTCGTTCTACCGCATCCCATTCGATGTCACTCAAATGGGTAAACCCTTCACGCGTGTCGTGAAAGGTGTCTTCTTCATCCAACATGTTCATGTTGGATGTTGTGGTCCTTGGAAGGACTACGAAGTGCTACCAGGTGTAACGGGGCACACCCTTGCGTGAACTTAACGCAAGGGTATCGGTGCCCCGACAGACATACACGAGGCAAACGAGGAAGCGTAGATAAGGGAAAAGTAAAACTGTTATATTAATATAATAAAGTCTTTAACCACTGTCTCTCTGTTTGACTTAACTTAATTATGTAAATCTAACTGAGTGTATGACGACGTCTACTCACCACTCATTGCGCGCGTCTTGCGGCGATTGGTGGGTCGATATCATCAAGATATCAACCAATGAACAGACTCTTTGGTCGACCCTTCAATATCACCACTTTGGTGATATTGTTCAAAGAATATTCAACTTCATATTCTTTATTGTCACTTTCCTTAAAGTGACAATTTCCATGTAACGGGCTGCCCCGTTACACTGGGAGGTTCCGGTCCGGGCAGGAGCCCTACGCACGTCCACTCCTGCAGTCGGTCGCAAAGGTGCAAACATCTGACCCGATGGTCAAAACGTGATCTTTGTGTCAGTATCATTCGCTCGCCAAGACGACATTGCGCTTTGCTTGTCGTGATTGCATCACCAAATTCGGTCTTCTCATCCATCTGCTCTCTCTCTCACGAGGTCGTGTCGTCCCAAAAATGGCTGTGTTGGCTCGTATCTTTCCTAGATCCATCGCGAGACGAGCGCCAACAAAAGGTCTGTGTAACGTGTAAGGTCCGTCAATATTCGATGCCTTCTCCAACGACGACACCTGTTTCTCCACTCGTCCGACGGGCACAACTTCTTTCTGAAAGACCCCAACCAGTCGACACTGCAGCTTTTGGACACCAGCGGTCGCATCCATTTTCTCCACTGCAATGTCCACACTGGGTACAGATAGACCGCCAACTGCTCGCAGTCGAATCGGTGCTGGCCGTGACTGTCATAACATACACAGTGAGTGAACGAGGGACGGACGGACGCACCCCACAAGACCTCCTCACCTGGACGAGAAGGCTCCGGTACAAACGCAAGCAATAGTGTGTTTGTGTGTGTGATTATTCGGATAACCTGCGCGCGTAGTCGTCCAGCGCAGCGCTTCCAGTAGTCTACCAATACTTCTAAGTCCTCTAGTTCCTAACATCTGGTCGAGCCTCCGTCTCCGAGCAAGTGGCAGAGTAGTAGTGACTTTCGCACCACCCGCTACCCACTTCTACCACCACCACCAGCAGTACCAGCAGCAGCCGCAGCCGCAGGAAGACGTCGCCCACCAGCACCAGCAGCAGCCGCAGCCACAGGAAGACGTCGCCCACCAGCACTCTGCGCGATGATTAAATAGGCGAGCCACGCAGCTCCGCCAGCTGTTGTCGGGACAGCCGCAAGTCGAGATTGTCCCCCCAGCCGCACATTTGCTCGAACGAGTCGAACGTGAGCTCCACCTGCTGCAGCACTTCCTCAGCGTTCGGGTGCTCGACGAACTTGAGCGTCTTGGCGAACGTGCGACACACGCTCTCGACGGCCGTAAAACACGCGTCTCGCTCGGCCATCGAGTCGCCCACTGAGAGGAAGTGAAAGTAGCCGTCTTGCACGCCACAAGCCGCAGCCGCCGTCGGCGTCGGTGCTGCCGGTGCCACTATCGTCGGTGCAGCTATCGCTTCCGAGCGACCGCTGCTCGTGTCGTGCGCCGTTGCGGCCGCCGCAAAGCACTGGCGCGCAATGAGCTGCATGACCTCTTGTTTCCACGTCGCCGAGTCGCCGCCCAGGCCGAACGTCTGTTCGTACCAGCTCCGGGCCGAGACAATGTGCACGTCCGCGAGGCTCAGCACGCGCTGCACGTCGGGCAGATAGAGCGCGGCCGACATCTCGACCCATCCCCACTCGGCGGCCGTCACGACAAACACCGGTCCGTACGCGACGGCCTTCCGCAAAAGCCGCGCGACGTGGGCCCCAATGAGGCGCAGCACGTGGCGCTGGGCCGGCGTCACGGCGATGCGGTGGCCGCGGTACTTGGGCAGCAGGTCCTGCGCGTGGAGCCACGAGCTGGGGCAGAGCGTGTCGTCCCAGTCGAAGACGACGACCGTGCGGTCCGTCACGCGCGCGCCAGTGGAAGCAGCAGAGGCGACGTGTCGCGTGGCGGGCGAAGACGCAGCGGCAGCGGTCGCAGTGGCAGTGGCAGTAGTAGCGACAGAAAAGGGCGACAGGGGCGTCAGAGGCCGCAGCGTCTCGAGCGCGGGACACGCGGCAAACGCCATGTGCGACTCGTGGGGCAGTCGGTCTGTCTGTCTGACTGACTGACTGTCGGTCGGTCGGTCGGTCGGTCGGTCTCGGGCCGATGGGGCAAATGGGACTCTGAGTCAGACGGTCGACGGGGGCGACGACGGGAGTGGGGCGCTGCCTGCCGGGGGGGCGAAAGGGGGAGGCAGAGACGGGTCAGAACGCACAGCACCGGGGCGGACGAGTATGGACGGCGTGAGTAATGCGGCAAGAGAAAAGACCGTCGTGGACTGGCAAGAGCGCTGCTGGTGCTGGTGCGGTTGCAGTGGTCGGTCGGTCGGTCGGTCGGTCGGTGACACGCGCACGAAAGGATACGATTTGGCACGTGGTCGCTATGCCGACTGACTGACGGACGAACTGACGGACTGATTGGCTGACTGCTGTCGGTGTAACTGGCGGCTCCACGACCGATCACTTGTTGTGCACTTGTTCGGTGGTATGTGCGTAGCAATGCAACGAACTCGTCTTCTCCTCCTCTTCTTCTTCTCCTTCTTCTTCTTCTTCTTCTTTTTCTTTGGGTGCGGTTCATTGCGACGACAGCGCGAGGCATCGGCAGACATGTGCGCGCTGATAGCGTCAGCAGCTGGCGCAAGCCCTTCTTTCTTCTCTCCATACAGTAGTCAAGACGGTGGTCGTGGACTTGGCCTCTTGTGGCACAACGAGAACCAGATCGTCGTGCCAAGCGAAACAGTAACGCGGGACGGACACCGAACGACTCGACGACGGACGTGCACCCAAACTTTCGGCAGCTGGTTGCACGCACCGCTTCTGGCAGAGAGAAAGAGAGAGAGAGAGAGAGAGAGAGGAGGCGTTCGTGGTGGTCGTCGCTGCTGCGATCGCGAGGGACGGACCCGAACGTCCCCGACACGAATGGGCCGCACTCGCTGCAGAAGAGAGCGCTGGCCCGAACAGACGGACCCGTGTCCACCTGTGGGCAGAAACGTTGGCGTCGTCGCAGCCGGCGGCCGCTCCTGAGCACGTAATGGACATGTGCACAGTGTGTCGTCCTACGGCAGCTGCAAACAGTCGCGCGCGTAAGAACCCAAATTTTGCGACCGCGACGACGGACGAAGACCTCTCTGGGACACAGCAGCACGTTTGCACTTCTCGCGGCTGGCAGATGTCGCAAAGGATAGGCGCGGCGGGCGTTCAGTGCCAGCGACATCGACCAGCTCGCGATTGCGCTCTCCCTCCTCTGTCTCGTGTGAGACGCACTGTTGTTGCCCGCGAGCACGCGATCGATCGACCGACCGACCGACCGACCGACCGATCGCCTCTGTGGTCGTTGACGCGGTTGGTGACGAACGAATGTCCGCTTGTACTCGCTATGTGAAGTGCCGTCAACGCGCCACTCGCTCAAAGCCTTTTTCTGAGCCCATCCTGGTGCTGGTTCTGGCTTCAGCGGTCTCGGTCCACGACTGGTTACGGATGGGTCGGACAGGAGTGCGAGGGAAGTCTAGACACTCGTGGGAGTGTAACTGGTGGTACGCTCAACGAGCAGAGGCAGTTTGACATGAACGGGTGAGCTGAATCAGGAGCGGTCGGCCTCCAGTGGCCATAGCCATCCGAAGGAAATGTCAGACGCGCCACCGAAGAAAGGCATGCGCCACTTGCAGCAGTCGATAGGTCTCCGCTCTTCCGGTCGATAGCTTTGTCGTTCAGCCGACAGTTTCGGTTACACAGTTTCCTTCGGTGCTCGAAGAATTCGCATACGAGTCCAACAAGCGGTACTTGACAACACAAGCGCGCGACGTCCGCCACTTCTCGTATTTTTCCCCACCCGGACCATCGAGCACTTTGCACGAGGTACCTCCGTGCCGGTCGCAATATTGTCCTTTCTGCTTGCGTTGATCATCGTCACCTATCGTCCGGCGTTTGACATGTCGCCAGGTACTCATACCAGCGACACCTCAATCTCGTCCATGCGTCAATATGCACTCGACAATAATCTACGGCCGCCTCGCCGTCACCTGAGATTCCTCCGTTTGCAATTAATTGGTTGCAGCTTCGAGGATCCGTACTATTAATTGTAATTGCACGAAGAGCATTACAATATGTAGATAATGACTGCGTAAATTGCATTTGATTCGACAATTGCTCAGTGCCATAATTTCAAATGTCGTTAGGTAGTTTTGAAAGGGAAAAGTAACACGATCGCCGCAACTTTTAGCTTCTGGTATCGAATCTCCATTAGCGGTCTTCGTCGTCGTTGTAAGTGACTGCTGTATTGACTTGAGACCGCAACTTGGCAGCCCCATACAACACAGGAGTCGGTCTATTTGTCCTGATGCGTTGATAGAGACCTGAGATGTCGAACAAGTCGTCGAGATCGTCGTATAGGATGAGGCGCCCATTGTGAAGATCTAAAAAGACGCCGCACGCGACGATATGGACGAGCTGGCGATATGCAGTCGAAGTGTTGTACACACTGTAGAGGCACATGCTGTGTAAGCAAGTGAGGCGTCCGAGTCAGGTTCACGCGAAGCATTGACAGGATGGTGGATGGGTACACGACGTGTGTTTACGTCACTGATGTGCCGATCACGGGGTCGTTTCAGTTTCTCGATCAGTACGGAGTCGACTGCAGTCGCGATGCACTTGTCAATGACCAGTGATCCAGATAGGGGTCACGCAATCGGCGTCGAGATTGATCTCGAAAGGCTGTCAGAGCTGGATATCGATGGGGTCGATGTTCACTGGCAGTGGACGAGCTGGAGCCGACATTGCGGTCTTCTCGATCGTACGGGGTCTGCTGGTAGCGATGACCTTCTTGAATGGCAAAAATGTGATGGCACGAATTCAGATTGGTGGCAGATTGAAGAAGAGACAAGCATGACTGCCATGGGATGCGTATCTTTGGGAATCGTTGTAACCTTCGTCGTCAATGCAACGCCTGCTCAATTTCCACGTGCGACTTGTTGTCCACCTCGACAGCTACAGCATCGCTCCTGACTTCGCCTCGACACGAATGCCGGGTCCTGCCTCATCATCATCTGGCGACGATAACTTTCGGCACGGGCACCGATGCATCTTTGGACCCGTGTGCCAGCAGTCAGCCTAATGCTCGCCTTCAACCTTGTCGTCACTCGACCTGTTGCTGCGCTGGTTGCTAGACTCGTTCGTGTCCGGCCTGAAGAAAGTGCGCTTACTCTCGCGACCCCACGCAGATCTTTGGTGGCCAGAAGACTTGTCGCGAGAAACACGAGAGCCCGTTGGTGCACGTTCTCCACCCGAGGTCACATCGCGGTGGTTACCCTCGCTCTTGTCTGAGCGCCACAGGGTCGTGTTACGAAAGCTGGAGTTGTCATTCAGTGACGTGTCATGACGTTTGTACTCCAGTGCCACAAACTGGGGCAAATTCAGCACTTTTCGCATCGTATCGCTGTCAAAGGTAGTTGGACAACGCATCGTAAGTTGTGTTAGTAGCCACACACACGCCTTTGCCATTCCCATTGCCATGTCTTACCGTATACGGTGACACGCCTCATTGTTGTCAGCGTTGCGGTTCCAAAGTGAAATGATGTCTTCGTTGTATCGCACCGAAATCACAGCGCCGCAGATTTCGTTGCCCACATCAAACTGCTCGCCAACGATTGCCAGCACCTGTAACAAAAGAAGTTGTCTTGTCAACAATCTTCCAGCAAAAGGCGGATGAAACACAGACGTCCGAAGAACGTACCAGATCTTCCCAATAACGCGACGCAATGCCCTTGCGGAGACGCACCATCCACTTGCCGCCTCGTCGGTTGGCCGGGTCTTCCCACATAGGCTTAATGCCGGTCTTGAACAAATGGTAGTCCATCGTATTCGGCAGGTCATTCGGTCGCACCAAATGGTTGTAGATCTTCCAAAAGTCTTGCACCTGCGCACCAAAGTACAAGATGACCCACCACCCACACAAAGCAGGACCACCCCATTGTACCCAGCACGAACCGTCTTGAAGTTACCCAGTCCCTTGATGCTCTTCTCATAGCTCTCCTGCACAATGGCATCAAATGCACCGTTTCGTTCGTGTAAGATGCTGGGGATTGTCGTCACATTGCAATACCACTATACGAGAAAGCGGACGACACGATACTCACGCTAACAGCCTTATTGCCAGTGTTCCGCTTGATGTACCAGAAGCTGTACGTGTTCTGGATGGGCGACTCGACGACCCCTTTCTCGGTCATCGTCCCTTCCTCTAGCACGATGGCAATACACACACGTGACAACAGAGACACTAAGATACAAACGTTCACGTCACGTGTGCTGCTACCGACTCCACCGAGCGCTCGTGTCATCCCACTTGCTCTTCGAGTATCAGACAGCGCTTTCGGTGCAAGTTCCTCCACAAACCCTCGAGCTGTATCGGTCTGAATGAGGTGTACGTACCGCTTTGCTTCTCCTCTCCCATGACGTCGTTCTTCGATGTCTATGGGTTTGCTTTGTTTTTGATAATTTGTTGACTGTGCTGCAGTGGTGTGGTGCTGCGCGCTGCACATGAAAACAATTCCTTCGCGTCGATAGTATTATTTATTGTTATCGTTACTATTATTTGACTTTCGTCTCACGTGACAAAGTCCGAAGCAGACGACGCGGGCGCAGGATGTGCTGCAGCAATACAGTATAAGGCCACACTCGCTGTTTAGCTGTCCCGTATCCGACAGTGGACCACAATTGGGGTATCGTTTCTATGCAGGTCATGCGAGCGACACAGGAAGAGTTGTTTGATGACCTGGTGACATGACCTTTGAGAAAAGATTGATGACAAACAGAGCCACTGGCACGTGCACGTTGACCTGTAAAAAGCACATGCAACAGCACGTGGACGGTGTGGTCAGTTACGGGTCTGGATCAAAGAGCTCTCGAGTGTTCATGCCTGGGTGGTTACCGCAGAGAGCTAGCACCAAATCCAGCTATCGTGACGAGGCCAAGGCAGGCTGCACGGATCCTGTGGTTTCAGTGAGATAGGAAACAAACGGCGTGAACTGCGTCACCGAAGCAAGCGAGTGTTTGTCCGCAACGTCTGGAGAAGCTGTTGTTGCAGCATTGTCGAACGATCAACGGACAAAAGAGCAGTGCACGCGAGCACCAACCCACATAAACCAGCTCGATCCTGAACGTTTTCGATCGAGCGGCCAGAGCAGTGAAGAACGCTGGTAGTGCCCACTTTGATCTTCACGAGAGCAAAGCACCTGATGGACGAGCTGCACTGCAAAGGCCGTCAGATTTGGTCTCTGCCGAGGTCGAGAGGATCACAAAGTCACGCACGCTGATTGTCTGCAAGCGACAACAGCGACGTGTCGAGGAAAGAAGAGAGAGCAACGCTAGACCAGAGGCGTTTCGTTGGCATACCATCCATTAGAGCGTTCGTTTAAATAGCAAACGCACGGCGAGACCAAAACCTCTCCCAGTCTCCTGCACCACCAAAAGCTCCCACGACCAGACAGACAGAGCTCTCCTCGTGTACCTGTCTGCAGTTGCCTCGGAGCTTCTCGTACCATCCTGACACTGCGCCGATCCAGCCGACTCGACAACAGTGGTCCATCGCCCCTCCCTGGATCTCCCTGCGTCGTCACTTGCTGCTGCTACTGCTGCTGCCTTACGTCATGGAATCAATGAGCGCACTGCGCATAGTTGTCGCGATCGACGCCGGCTGGGCGTTCTGGAGCTTAAAGATGCTTTCGACGACCGAGATCTCCGTGGACGTGGTGTCCAGCCCGCAGAACGCCGTCCAGTCGTTCACGACGAGCCCAGCGCCAATGACGTCACTGCCGCGGTTCACGGTCCCGGCCACAACGGGCACCTGCAGCAGCGAGCTGAGCTCCTCCTGGTCCTCGACGCTCGTGCGGGGGTGCACGAGGCAGCCCTGGTTCGACAGCGCACTGTAGCTGCCCACGAGCGCGTTGCCCGCCACGGTCTGGCGAAAGACCTCGACGCCCAGCGTGTCGGCCACGATCTCCTCCGTCTCCCGGTCCAAGTCCGTGTGCACGAGCGCCACGTGGTCGTTCGTGGCAATGCAGTTGCCCAGCGCCGACAGCCGCTCCTCCACGCGCTGCACAGCGACAGCGTCGGGCAGCGCGTTGCGAATGTGCTGCATCTCTTGGTCCGTCGTCGTGCTCGGGAGCAGGAGACCGCGTTTGTTGCCGACGGCGACGCGGCCGACGAAGCGGCAGCCAGCGACGCTCGCGTGCACGACGGGGATGTGGTCGGCCAGCTCGGACTCGAACGTGCTGTAGAAGTTCTCGGACCCGCCGACGCAGACGAGGCAGTAGGCGTTCGTGAGCTTGGAGAAGACGCCGATCTCGTTGCTGTTCTCGAACTGACAGCGGGTGGCCATGTTCTGCTGCGGGTAAAGAGGGGGACGAGAGCGAGCGAGCGGGTGGAAGGTAGAAGAGCTACGGACGGACGGACGGACGGACCAAGTGACGAAGTGACGGACTGAGTGAGTGAGTGAGGAGTGGGTGGGTGTGTGGGTGGACCGAAGCGCTGAAGTTGCTCAATGGGTCGAGCTAAGCCATTAATTACGAGCGAGCGGTCGAGAGGCTGCACGTCGCACTTAGCCGTGCAACACGACTGCCCCCTGTACCCGTTACACTCGAACCGAAAAGATTGTTCCGCGAACGAACCTCAGGAGCGAGAGACGATGATAGGCGCTGTCTTTGCACACGTAGCGGCTGCCGACAGTATTGGCGCTTTGTAGGTGCTCCGACTATAGAACGAGTGTTTGCTTACATGGAGGACGCACGCAGAGACTTAGTGGGCAAAGAAGCTATCGAATGTGGCTGCCCCCATGGGCGAAACTTGACTCGCGGCAGCCACTACGAGTCGAGTTCTGCACATGGGGTCGTCTCGAACAAAACGGCTGGCAGTTCCAGACAGAAGAGGAGCACGGGCTCTGGGAGCTGCGACCTCGAAGCAGTCACCAACGTCGAGTCAACTCTGATAATCATAGAGTTGCGATTCTCTCGATGGAGTTTTGCTGCCAAGCGAGTACCAGCTGGACGTAGAGACCTCTCAACCTGACGAACCGGTGCGCCATGTGGCACATGATTGATCAACATACCGCTTGTATCCTGCAGGACCAGACGCTAGAGGTGCTCGAGTTTGGTCATGTGCGGTCGTGTGGCGGATCCGTCGGCCAGATTATTCATCGATGCAGAAGGTGCTTCGGCTCTGTCTTATCGACGAGCCCACGGACGTCCAGCATTTGTGGTATGCCCTCTCGTGAAGCCATCGTCAATCGATTTTGCGAGCTGCTTGCAGACAATGTCTGAGGAGCGTTTGTCGCCACGCCCGACCTGATATCGTTAGCTGTCGCGTTCCATTGCTCTTATGAGCCAAGCACGCCGACTCGTGAACAAGATAGAGCTGCTAACGATCGTCGAGAACTATCTGAGGGTACAGAAAGCACAACACAGTACTTGCATATCATTCGACATCCGTCCATCAGCTTTGAGGAGCATACAAAAGGAGACCCGAGCGGGTAGCGACCACTCGTCAGGGCAACGGCTAGTAGTAGCTGGACGAAAATTGCTTTGTACACATACGTGCAGCGTCTCTCGAATCCAACATGTACTGCCATAGTCGTACACAATGTCAAGGATAGCAGCAGTCCACCTCATCTAGTGTCCAACATTGGTGGTAACTGTTGCCTTTTGCATCGTTCAACCTGGTTGGATCGCCATGCTTCATGTCAAGTTACGCTCGCTTCCTAGGCTGCTTTCTGATTAACTCTCATTGTGCCCCACGGCGACGCGCGAGAATAGCAGCCAACTCGCTGTTGGCGCCACCAACGCCTCCGTTTGTGGTAGAAGCCTGGGCATGCTCACCAAACTTACGGGCTGACTCCATCGACGCCTTGCCAGACTTTCTTGACGTCAGAGCATGCTTCCGGGCTTCCTTCTCGGTCTGCTTTTTTGCCTTCTTCTCGGCAACGCGCCGCAAGCGCTCCACTTCGCGTTCGCGACTTCGCTGTTCCTGACGCTCTGCTTGCATCGCCAGCTCTTCCTCCCGCTGTCGCTCCAGTTTTTTGCGACGTGTTTTCTCTCGCTTTCGGCGCTTGCGAATGTACTCATCAGGCACGCCCGGTCCGACGCTGATCTCGATGCTGTTTGCATTCCCTGTGATTCGGTCATGGTCTGACGAGATAAACTGGATTTGCTGCGAGGGCGTCTTCGATAGCCCTGCACTTGCTGCCCGGCGAAGACGAATGGAATCGCTAAAATTGATCGGCGTCACAATGTTTGCCGACGAGCGGATCGCGTCCACAAGCGTGACCGCGATCTCAGTCTTCTTCTCGGACAGCAGAAGCTGGTCTTCAGGCATCTCGGTGCACATGAGCCCAATGACATTGTCGTAGACACGGACTGGCGTGTAGAACCCAAGGTCCGGCAGCACTTCCACTTGCTTGCAGACATCGTTGCAGTAGATTTTACCGCTGTAGCGGCAGTGATGCCGACGGTTGAACAGTCCAAACTTCTTGCCAGTGGCCATACACACCATTGTAGTGTTATTGCCCATCCAGTTGCTCTTGTTTGGCTCGGGCAGAAGCGGTTCTTGGTGCACTTTCAGCACAAAGTACGGGTCTGCTAATGTACTCATCGTAATCTCTTCTATAGCCGACAGCTGAAGGCGGCGACGAAGGTACACCAACGGTGGTACCCATGCCGTTTTCGGGTCTACGACAGGGTGCCACGTCCGCTTTTCCATCAGATACAAGAACTGGTCCGTGATGACTAGAATTCGTCCCATCAGTGCAACAGGAGAGCCATCGGGCGACAACCCAGCAAGTGGACATGCCTTCCGGATCTCGTCGATGAACACGATCTTTTCCGAATCTCCGTAGTGCTGGATGATTCCCAGGACGGCCTCACGGATGGAACTGTCGCGAAGATAGTCAGCGTCAAAAGGACGGTAGATGCTCACGCGCTGCCTCTGTTTGTTGTTCGATGCGTAAAGCTTTGTGATGTCGTGGCTAAGTTGCAGCAGATGGCGACGACCAAAGTACCGTTTCCACGCCTTCTGAATCCGCATCACAAACGAGCCCAGCATTTTCTCACGCAACTTCTCCAGCTCGAAAAACGTCTCCGGAGTTTGTATAAACACCATTGTCTTGCCAAGCTGAACCTCACTCTCGAGTTGAGGCAGTGACTTTGCAGCAGCGCGCAACACGGCTTGCGTACCCTTTTTGTCCGACCCACGGAATGTTGGGTAAGTTTCACTACTGAGCAGCCGGAAGCGATCAACAAATCGACCATAATCTCCTCGATAAGCGTAGCCGGCGCGACGAACTTTGACATTTTCGAGAAGACCCAAGTACTTGATCTGGTGAATCACGCGGCGGTCGTCTATCTTGTTGGACTGTTTCTGGTCGTTGGACTTGATGCAGCGCACGTAGTGCGGTGTGCAGTCCATCAATGCCGTCACGAGCGCGTCGCACTGAGTACGAATTTTGTATCCTGCCGTGTTTGCCATGCGCTTATCGTTGAGGTCGATTTCTTCGGGAAAGATGTACCGTATGAGCTTGTTGGATGTCTCGCTAATGATGAGCGCGATGTCCTTACTGAGGAAATCCTTGTTGGAATCTCCAAACCCTTCAATGCTGTACTGCACATCACCTGCATAGTGCTTGATCTCAAACGTCTTACCGCGCTTCGAGAAATGCGGGTGTGACCCGTGGATCCCCGACACCTTTTCCAGAAAATTTGCATCCACGCTGTCTCCTTGGCGAGAGTGCATTGTTTTGATCGTGTCGTCCAGAATAAGGAAAATGCCAGGTGTTGGACGGCGAGCTTCGATCAAATCGCACACGACTTTGTTGTTGAAGAACGGAATCGGTGCCCATGCAATGCCCTCTCGAGCATACTCTTCCTGCTCGCTCTTTAGCGTGAGCTCAATGAAAATCTGCTGCAGCTTCTCGTTGACGTAGTTGATACAAAATTGCTCGAATCCGTTCTTGTCGAAGATTTCGAAACCGTAAATGTCAAGAATGCCAATCGTGGTCATATCGTCAATCTCCAGGAGCTCGCCGTGTTTCTCCGCTTTCTTCTCAATGTCCAGCGCATGGTTTACGCGCTCGACCAAAAAGTCAAACAGTCGGTCGTACACGGTCTTCGCGATCGAGTCGCGCTGTGCTTTCGCTTGACTTATGTTTTGCGGCACCTCGTACGACTCAATCTTTCCTCCAGGCGCCATTGTCTGGAGCATTTTGTAGCACAACGCGTGTTCAAGACGTGCCGCGTCTAACCCCAATAGCTCGCACGCAATCCGCAAGCTCTCGCGGTCGTGGACGCAAGAGCCCTCTGCATCGCCCACTGTCTCGGGCTGAAACTGCACATTACCAATGTGCAGCACCGCAGCCAACGTCTGAATCACCAGTTCGATTTGCTTGCGCTTGATACCAACGTGCTGCATGGCCGCCATGGTCTCTTCAAACTCCTGCGCGTCATTCACGTCGTCGACATCGTAGCACCCACTGGCTTTGAGATACTGATAGTGCTCGGGTCCGCCCTGATCCAAGTGCAGCTTCTGCTTTGCCGCCGGCGCGAGTCCCGCCACCATCTGATAGAACACGTGAAAGTTGCGCTCGCCTTTGCCCGGCTTGACCACGCGCGACTTTTCCAGCAGGTAGTTGGTCACTTTGCCTCCTTGCGGCCGCCCTGCCGAGTCAAACAGCAGCTCAAAGTACTTGCCAAAGCGACTCGAGTTGTTGTTCCGCAGCGTCTTGGCGTTCCCGAAAGCTTCCAACAGTGGATTGCTCTCGAGAAACGTGCGCTTGACTTTGTCCACGCCGGCGCCACTGCCACTGACGCCTGCCACGTAGTTCTGGATCTGCTTCGACGCCTCTGTCTTGCCCGCACCGCTCTCGCCACTGATGATGACGCACTGATTGTCTTCTTCACTGAGCATCGCGCGGTACGTTTCTTCGGCCGTCGCAAACACGTGCGGCGCCACGTCGATGCGCGCCTTGTGCATGTACGCGCGCATGCTCTCTTCGCCGTAAATGTCGAGCCACTTGTACGGGTTCACGACCACGAGCACGTGGCCAATGTACGAGTAGATGACGTCCGCCGCGTGGCGCATCTTGAGGTTCTCCAGGATCGACGTCTCGCTCACGGATGATAAGAGCACCAGATCATCGACGCCGACGATGACGCGATCGGTGCTCAGGAGCGTCGCGTGCTTTGAGGCCGCAGTCCCGCGCCGCCCCATGAGGCACAACAAGAAGAGGAAGAAGAGGAGGAGGAGGAGGCAGAAGGAGCGGCCAAGTTGCGTGCGCTGTTGTGGCTGTCGGCGATTGCGTGCGACTTGTTTACGACTGTACGATCGATCGGATTCCACTTGTGAGGCGCGTACTGACGGCCGTCGCACATAACGTGGTCGCGAGCTGCGATGAGGCGATGCTGGAGGGGCCTAGTTTAGGTCCCGAGGCGTGTCGCACGTGGCCACGCGCGCACAATTCGAGTGTTGCTCCGGACGTAGTTCCAGCGAGTGGTGAAACAAGCGCTTTTTTAGGGGCAAAGTACGCATTTGTGACGGATGTGTGGTCAAGCTGCTGAAGGTACGCACGCATTGTGATGTGATTGCAACATATTGACATATGCTATGATTATGCTGAAGGTCATAGAAGCAAGCATTACGACCCACTTTTGCTGCTGATTATGGAATACATTCGAGTATCAGCAGCTTATCAAGTGTTCATTTACATGGTCGGATGATTCAGAGTATCCTAGAGGGAATAATTGGATTCGTTGTCGTCAAGGGCTACAACAACAGCGTTGCCGTGCTTTTGTGCGATAGAGCAGCTTATTGCCGTTGCTGATGTGTTGGAGAGAAGTTTATGGTAAACGTTGTGAAATGATGGGCTTACGCGTGATGAGGAAGAAAGAGAACTGATATCAAACTGGGCTGCTATGCCCTAGCTGATTTCTCGCTAAAGATTACACAAGCTCTATATTTGTCGCGCTCACTAGGTAGCCATACTGTCGCTGTGCTAGCTTGCGCCACCGCTCCTGACGACGTCTTTGTTGCAGCTGCACACTAATACACCCATCTTGGCAGCGGGGTTGCAACAAGGTAAGCCCGTTGCATATCTTTTTGACACCTAAACGGGTCGTTGTATATATTGTCTGTTTGAACGTATTCTCCAAACCTATTTTACTTTATAAAGTTTGAAGCGACGTTAGCTTCGAAGGTCATATCCAGCGCCGCTCCACGGACTACCTAGTAAGGGCTTTTCGATCGACCAACTTAATCACCGTTCGCTAATAGACGCACACGATGGGTGATGAGCAAGTAGCTGTAGTTAACAGTTGCAATTCATTACAGTCAAATAAAATTAAATGATTTTTATTGTAAAACATAGTGAGTACAATTCTACTTTTCTTCTTCGAAACGTGTTCATTAGGTGATCAAGCCTTCCTATGCACGTACTCTGACGTGAGGATTCGAGGCAACTGTCTGCTCTGTGTTAGTGTATGTAACTTGCACCGTGTCAGTGCAAGCGAAGGGTTCCCGTTGCATGGATCGTCTGTTCGAGTGATCTCTCATGCACCTCTAAAGGCGCTGGAACCAAGTGTAGTGGTCCGTCGTGATGCATATCGCGAGGGCTCAGCGTCATTAGAAGAAACACTTTGTATCGTAAATTACTGACTGGTTCTTCGGAGATTCCGAAAAGGTAGAATCTCCGTTAAACCAGTCGGTGATTACTTTAACTTGCACAGATGCAAATCTTAATACAGCCGGTAGGGTGTATTAAACGTCTGTTTGTTCGCGATGCCGCTAGACTTACGAAGGTGGTACGGAGCACTGTGGCGAAAGTATTCTGTCATTCATCTTGTAGTATGCATCTACCTACTTTTCCCGTGTGATCGTTCCTGTCCGCTCGATTAGCAAATGTTGCATATCGTGTCAGACAATGTATTCACCTTACGAATACAAAGTCATCCGCCGCATTCACCATCGCCGTCCGGCACGCTTCCTGCGCAATCTTACTTACAGCGACACTCCGTTTTTGCACTCCTCCTCGGCCATGACTTCCGCACAATTACCCGAGGCTCAACAGCTCGCACAGCGCCGCTAGATTGGCTGCGTCGAGTGTCTTCGCGAGCAGGTCCGCGAGCTGAAGCTCCGACCGGACGTACTGCGCCGCGACGGTCCCAAGACGCACGTAGTCGCAGACGAACTTCATGCGGACGTATATGTGCTTCGCTCGGAGTGACGACGCCTTGCCCGCCAGCTGCTTCAGCGACGCATGGTTGTCGAAGTGGTGGAGCATCGAGAGCGCTGGCGGCTTCCCGATCTCGCTCAGCATCTCGCGGATGCCGAGAAGCTCGCGCGCTTGCTCGGATGCCGCGACGAACTCCGCCTTCATCGTAGAGAGTGAAACGCAGTCCTACTTCTTCGCCGTCCAGCTGATCGCCATGCCGTTGAGGCGGATGACGCCACCGATAAGCGGCTTACGGTCGCTCTTGTCGGCCGCAAATTCGCCATCCAATTACGCATCGAGCCGCATCCCACCGTCGCGATCCTTCGTCGGCACCATTCGTAGCTTGAAGTCGCGGGTACCTTTCAAATACCGCGCGATGCGCTTCGCCAGCTTGAGGCCGTGCACGCGTGGCTGATGCGTCTGACGTGTCGCCTTGTTCACGGCGAACGCAATGTCCGGCTGCGTGCGACGCGCCACCCACAGCAGACTGCCGACGAGGGACTGAAATGTCCTGATGCTCGGTGCACCGTCCTTGCCGGTGACACTGAGGATCGCGCTGTTGTCCGACGTCACGTCGTAGCAGTCGGCTCCGATAGGAGCGCGTGTTATGCTGGCGCTCTCGAGTTCGTGCTCGCGCAGCAGCTTGCCGATCGCTTCTGCTTGGTCGAGTACATACGATCCGCTGTTGTTGATCGCGACGCGCATGCCGAGGAACTAGCTGACGAAGCCGAGGTCCTTGATCGACAGTATGATGAGCATGGTAAAGAACCACTCTACATCTGCCTTGTCGTTGCCTGTAGCGAGCAGATTGTCGACGTAGACGCCGGCGACGACGAGCTGTCCGTTATCGATCTACCAGTACAGGTACATGTCGTTAACACACTGCCTGAAACCGGCATCGAGCAACTGAAAACGGGGCAGCTGGATATAGAGACGAACAGTCTGCTTTCGGCCGTACGGACTCTTCTTAAGCTGCAACCCGAATTCCTTCCTGTGCGCGACACCAAGCGTCTTGAGAGTGTCGTCGCTGATTTCCATCGCTTGCGGCACCTGGAGGAGGATATCCAGGTGTTCTTCCTTGTCCGCCTTGACGTACGCGTTCGGGGTGTCGCCGTGCTTCGCCGGGACACCAAACGTCGCCTTCAGCACTAGGATCAACTTCACAGTCGACATGTCCATAATGGCCGCAAAGGTGAGCTGGTAGCCGACATCGAAGACCTGCTCGTTCCCGCAGGCGACCAGTCGAGTCTTCATGCGCTCGGGATCGCCGTGCGCGTCTGTCTTCGTCTTGAAGACCCGCATCGTGTGCAGCGCGTTCCTGTTCGAAGGGCGCTCGATCATGCGCCACACGCCGTTGTCCTCCAGAGATTGGAGCTTTTCGCGCATGGCTTGTTCTCATCCCTTGCGCTTCGTGCTCCGCGATGATTCGCCGTAGTTCTTTGTGTCGCGCTCGTACACGTGTGCCAGCACGCTATTGCTTTGTGTTGTCTGCTCCTAATCACCGGTCGCCTGTGCGAGCTTCGTCGCGCCGCGCGTGTCCACGACTTCGTCTTCTTCTTCCCGCTGCGGATAGTTGGCGCTGCTGCCGCCACTGGTGTCGATCCCACTGGGGCCGTCGTCTCCGCTGCGCTCAGCGCCACGACTGCTGGTGCTGTTGTTGTTATCTCTTCCGTTTGATCCTCGTACTCTAGCGGACGCTGCATCTGGCCGTTATCATCTGCACTGAGCGTCTCGATGTTCCGCACGTGCTGCGTCGTCGTCACCGTGACTTCTCTTCTGGAGGAGCACGCGGAAGCCTTTGGTCTCGTCGCTTCACCCGATAATGAGCTCCGACTTGCGCACGCTGCGCGAGCGAGTTCTTGCCCGTGTCTCGATAAACCGAGCAGATCGATCCGAACGCGACGATTTTGCGCATGTCCGTCGCGTGCTTCGCGTTCGCGCTCGTGGGGATGCGGTTGAGGATGCACGCGGCGTACTCGACCGCGCCGCCCCAGAACGTCACGGGCAGTCAGCTTGCGAAGATCTTGCTGCGCGCTATGTTGAGCATCGCCATATGCATGCGCTCGGACTTGCTGTTTGACGCCTGGTTCCGCACACCGCTGATCTGTCGCGCGACCCCCCCCCAAAAAAAAAAGAGGGAGGTGGAGGGTTTATTCTTCCCCTCCTTCCTGAGAAGGGAGAGAGCGCGAGCAAAAAAGGGGCGGAAGAAAAAAAGAAGAGAGGCGAAAAAATTATTCCCTTTTTTTTTCTTCGTCCCCGAGAAGAAAAAACAAGATGTTTAAGTTTTTTGAGAGAGAGTGGAGAGGGGTCCCTTTTTACAGTGGGGTTTTTGGGGGTAGGGACCCTGGAGGGGCAAAAAAACCCCCCCCCCAACTCAGTCGGTCGTCGAGTTTGCTCCAGTGTCCTAGCGCGACCGCGTTATTATTCTTCTTCCCTTGCGCTCACGAGACGCAAGTCGACCGCTTGCGGTCCGTGGACACGATGCCGGACGCGGAGTCCTTCGCCATTCTCTCGACCGTGTCGTACGCAAGGTGGCCGAGCCGCTGGTGGAAGTGCAGCAGTGACCCGCTGTGCGTGTCCGCGTCGTCGCTCGTCAGGATAGCCATAAGCACGTCGCTCGTCAGGATAGCCATAAGCACGTCGCTCGGCGCCTGTGGAATGCAAACTCTCATCACTGTCTGCACCTACAGCACGTTGTGGTCCATCGAGACGTCGAACACGATATGTCCATGGCTGCGTCTTACCAGCACGCGCGACTCGCCTTCGTACGCAAGGACGAAGCCTTTGCGCTCGAGCTTGCCGTACGACATGATGTCGCGCGGCAGCTCGGAATCGTGGTACACTTCTGTGAGCGTGATCTTCTGCTGTCTACCTTTCGCGAGCACCGTCAGCTCCACATTGCTGACACTCAGCATATTGACGGTCTCTCCGTCTGCCAAGTGGCATTCTGCATCTCAGTCCCGCGAGTCACGCAGCAGTGACGCGTCGTTCACGAGGTGGCGGC